CTGACACAAAATTCTGAAAAATATTGCCAACCAAAAATCATAAAAATACCCAGCAAAGCAGTCCTTCAAATACAACAGCACATTTAGGTCATTGCCAGATAAACAGAAATGAAAGGAATTTGTAATAACCAGAACAACTTTACAAAAAAATGCTAAAGGGTCTTCTCTGGATTGAGACTCCATCCCTTCTCAACTTTGTCCTTATATGCAGGGTAGTTGAGGGCCATAGTCTCAGGTTCTTCCAGTCTCTTTCTAACCAATAAGCCTGGTCTTTTTTTTCCCCTAGTATATTTGAGCTTTGTTCCACATTTTTCTCTCACTCTATATGGGATTTTCTAATGTTACCCCCCTTCCAGAACTATTGGTAATGGTAGGGGGTACCATCTAGTTTTTCTGGTTTTAGTAATGGTGACTGATGTTTAGCTGATCCATTGGTCCACTGGACTAGTTGATTCCAAGTATCTTTAATTTTTCATCACTCTTCTTTTACACACGGAGAGACCAATTGTTGTACCTTCGATGGATGCTTGTGAGCTCTTAAGATCCCAGTTGTTACTTACCAAAGTAGTTACCCAATTTTTTTTATGGGCTGTATCCTTTGGTTGGACTTCTGGTGTGGAGCTATAGGACCAGCACTGAATTGTGAACCACAAGGTCAGCAGTTCAAACCAACCAGCTGCTCCTCAGAAACCCTATACAGGGTTGCTGTGAGTCACAATCGACTTGATGGCACTTAACAACAAACAAATCCTTTGGCTTTCATAAATTCTTAAAAGCTGTATTATCAATCTCATTACCATTTCTTATTTTCTCACTTGGCTCTGCAGTAGCCTCTTCAGTCTCTTGGACCACTCTGACACCAGGTGACAAATTAAACTCCAGCACAGATATTCATCACACATTTCCTGAGCAAATCTGCTGCATGGCAGTAACCAGAGATAAAAAGGTAATTGGGACCTGGTGCCTACACTCAAGTCACTTAACCTAGCAACAGAGACATTTGCTACATAACAGGTACATGACAGATGTACAGAATATATTTCCCAATCCATCCAAATAGGTGCCCATGTTTATTTTGCCACATCTAAATCCCATTATGGAATGCTGGTGTGGTGCAGTACAATCAATACTAGACTGCTTATTGCAAGGTCAGAGGTTCAAGTCCACCAGCTGCTCCTCAGAAACGCTATTCAGGCTCAGTATGAGTTAGAACCAACTCGACAGCATTTAACACATCCCATTATACTAATGTATATTTGTTTTCTATTAAAGCAGGGTCTTTTATTATCAGTTTCTGAAACATGTCAGTTCCTTCATACTTACAAGCTATAAGTTGTTCTTCTTGATTAGTGCGACTATGGTAATAATTTCATTTAGTCAGTGGGACTGCTAATTTTAATCAAGTAACACTCTTGGAAGAGTCTAGCTAGGATCATGAACATTTACATCTGGCCACTCTGATTGACACAGGTTCAAAATTTGTTTGGAATATTAACACTAAATAGTTCTCAAATTCTAAAATAATTTCCTTGTTTAGATTAGCATTTACATATCAACTCTGATTTGGAAAGTATTTGTTTTACAGTTTTAAATACTGCTAAGAACTTTAATGTTAAAATGATTGGTTTCTTTATGCGATAAAAGTCTGATCATGGGTTATTGCAGAAGTAACTTGGTTGCTGTTGGGGATTGGATTGTGTCCATCAAAATATGAGCGATAAACCCTAATTTCTGTGCCTGTGATTAGAATCCCATTCGTGAATGAGATGTCTTTTTTAATGTTAATAAGACAGGCTTAGTGTAGGGTGCATTTTTAATCAATCTCTTTGGAGAGATGGGAGCTTAAACAAGCAAACAAGAGTAGCAGAGATGGGAAAGAGCGATGACTATACACAGGAAGATCTCCAAGCAACCAGAAAGCAGAAACTGAGGAGACAAGGACCTTTCACTGGAGCCAATTCTGTCCCCTCGGGTAACACTCTGAATTTGGAATTTTATCAATGGCTTCTCGGAAACCCCACATAGGGTTGCTGTGAGTCAGAATGACTCGATGGCACTTAACAACAACAAATGGTGAGAAAATAAACATCTGTTTGCTAAAGACATCCAACTTGTGGCTTTTCTGTTGTACAGCACTAGATAGTTGTCCTGGAAGCCTCTCTACACTGAACAGAGTTAGAATACAAATGAATCTCAATTGTAAATTCCTTGAGAGTAAGGCGTTTTATACATCATGAATCTTCAGCACTTAGCAGGGGGTTAGTAAACACCAGTCTGTGAATAAATTTTAGATAGTGTTTCTTAATCTTTTTAGGTCATGAACCTTTTTTGAGAATCTAATGAAAGCTGAGGACCCTCTGTAGAAATTCAAATTTAGGCACACACACACACACACATTCATATATACCTAAGGAGCTCTGGTACCATAGTAGTTATGAATCGGGCTGCTAACCTCAGGGTCAGCAGTTCAAAACTACTCGCAGTTCCGAGGGAGAAAGATGAGGCTTTCTGCTCCTGTAAAGATTTACAGCCTCGGAAACCATGTACAGGATCACTATGAGTCGGAACTGACTCCATGGCACATAACAACAATATATATATATACCTGGGAGGTTCACTTAACAATAGACCCCAGGTTAAGAACCACTGTTCTGGGAGAAGGAGGTAAGGTTGGTCCCTTTCCCCACCTGGTACTGGATAGCCTTACAGAATGGTGGGTGTGGAGAGACAATGGGCTATCTTGCTTGCTTACCACATCTAAGGCCCCATCTTCGCTCTGAACAGGGCCTGAAGTTTGTTGGCAATCTTTGTATTCAAAAGACACAAGGAAACCATAATACTAAAATCACTACTAAGGATTAATGCGTAATCCTTAAATACATATTAATATTGTATCGTAAGAAAACACATAAACAAACATATTTGCAATATCATGGATAGGCTATCTTCCTCACAACTGCAATCCACGAGCACCTGCATTCAGAGCTGTCAGGTCCTCTGCCTCAACTGTCTGTATCCCACCAGTGGACCACTGCTGCAAGAGCCTGGGGTTGGGGTCTTTAAAACCATTAGGAGGGAAATTTAAGGAGAGAGTCTTTCCCTTTCAAACAAAAACAAAATAACCTTATGGAAGCTCAGATGTACACATGGCCAGATGGTGTCTAAGCAGATGTTAACTGATGGATACCTATACATGTATGTATATGTATGTGTGTATGAGTGCACAGTGAGATCTTGGAACAAGTCAGATTTAATAATAAACTATACGTGATACCAAATTCCTTACCTTACTGTTTCTTTAAAACAGTAACTTCCTTACCTTTCTGAACCTCAACTATAAAATGTAGAGTTTGACGATTTTTAAGATCTTTCACTCCAATACTGTTATTGGTTGGGAGAACCAGAGACTGAGTGGAGTAGATGGAAAAACAAATTTCACCAATCCCCAAAGTGGATCTGGGAGTGGAGAAATCTGAGGAAACTCACCCCAAATGATTAAGAGAGAAAGAAGGTGAATGAGAGGCAATACAACTTCTTTTAAGAAATTTTTCTAATTGGTCTAGTGGTGAGTGGAAGAGGGGGAAAGGCAGAAATGAAGAAATGAAGAATCTGACCTACTGCAAAAAGAGTGAGAAAAAAAAGTACATATATTTAGTAGGCACTCTGTTTCAGGAAAATAAAAGTTTGCTTTATTTTAAAACAGTAACTTCCTTATATTGAAGCACTGGCTTAAATTCAATACTGATACAAATATAAACTTCTTAGAAGGTCAAAATATATTGTCAGACAAATTGTCCGAATTTCTTTTCAAAGGCAGAATTTTTAAACCATAAAAAACAAAAAACCCAATTAAAAAAAAAAAAATGTACGTGAACTAGGCATATAAAATAAGCCACAGTTCAAATGTAAGTTCAATAACCAAACATGTCAATTACCTCAACTCCTTTTTGTTAACATAAAGAGCATACTGCACATATTTTTGATAATTTAAGGTTTACACTGCATAACGTAAATTCAACAGGACAACATTCTGACCAATGATAAGCAGTTTATAGGAAATTCTTTCATCAATTTGATGTTTTATTATAAAGCTATTATTTTAACCAATATTAAAATCTTAAACCTTCATTATCTTGACATCTCTAGAAGTGCTATTAACTTAGAACAAGTCGTCTTTATGATGCCATTTATTAAACCAAAAGAAAAGATGATACATTCTGGTTTTTCCTTTATAAGGGATTTATTCACTAACTTGATACCTTACTATATGACAACTACACTTTCCTCCTCAGCACAATGGTACTGAGGGGAAGGCAGCTTGCATGGTTCTCTAGCTCCCTTTAAAAAGGGCAGTATGGAATTTCAACAGTGAACATCATCATGCTTCTATTCAAACCCCACTGCCAAGAAAAGTGAGAGAGAATTTAAGATATAAGCTCTGCTCAAGACAAGAAGATTCAAACCTCAAATTAAATATTTCATGGCAACAACTTATGTTACACCAGCTGTTTCATTATTGTATTATAAATTATCACTGGAAACAAATGACAAAGACAGCAGTATCCTCTCTGCCGTTATGACTAATTTTAACAAAAAACTATTTTATATCCAAATACATGCATTTAAAACATTTGCACAGATAAATTAGTGTTTGCAAATTAAAATCCTCACAGTAACACCTCTCACATGTCCTTTCTATGTTCTGAAATCTATACACTTGTTTTCATGACTAGTAACACAGACATGCTGGTTATACATTAAAACACATCAGAATAAACATGTCAGATTCTACAAAGATAGTTTCAGAACTGACCATCTTGTAAAAAGCAAACCCAGAAACCCAGGGCTTTCGTTATTGCCTAACCCTCTATTTAGATTTAAAAGGAGGGCACTGAATGCTCAGGTCAGGTATTTACTAAACAGTGTTGAGTTCTACCACCAATTTAGCCTTAATAAATCAACAGCTGAACCAGGATAGTCTTTTTCAGCGGATTGTCTATTTAGGAACTGGAAACATTTTCAATTAAAGCCTTCATTTTTCCTGTAGACTTCAACATGTGTGGTCCAAACTAGAAAAGAAACAAACAAAACATATGAAAAAGATAACTGATTCATAGAGCAGTAATGATATGCTCTCTCCCTCTCCCCTGAAATAGGACCAGAGGGCTGGGTATTCTTGCATGAAAAAGCAAGTAGTTACTGCTAATATTAAAACCCTTATGAACTGACAGGTTTGTATAAATACACAACATGAAAGGCAAAAATGTAAACAAATTACTTCCTAGAAAAGAAAACTATAATCATCTCAGCAATAACGCATTTAGCACAATATTTCTTTTCTGAGTAAAGAAGAAAGTACACTGTTTCCTTTTCAATCTCTAAGGAATTTCAAAGATGCTGGAATTTGAGATACCTGCCTTCCTGGAATAGCTAAGCACAACATCCCCGTGTTAGTAATGTGGATAAAGGGAATTTATAAATTAGCATTAAAGAGCTTCTGTGCAATCTACTAAATCTTCACCTATGGTATAGCACATAGCCTTCAAAGCCCAGGTCATAGCTCATCCTTTTCAGAAAGCTTTAATAGGGCACCCTAAGAGACACTGATTTCTCTTTATCTTGAATTTCTGTCACAACATCTATTTTGCCCTAAGAAATAAATTTTATCATGATGAATCTCATTTGCTTTTATTTAGGGGTAAATATAACAGTGCATGGAAAATATATCATTGGTAATTGCTAAGTAATGAGATCAGAGGCTAATTTTTGTTTTCTTTCTTAAGTTCCAAATTTGTTACTGTAAGAACTATTATTTTTATATTCTATAAGTAGGGGGAAAAAGGATAAATACTAATAAAGATCTCATCCTTATTTCAGCTAATTGCAATCTACTTGTAGGTAGGGACTACATTCTTGCATGGTATCCTTTTGAATCTGCCATAAACAGACAGAGGATAATACCTCGCTAAATGTAGGTTACTGCTGTGTTGTAGTAGAAGAGAACTCTGAGACAATACTCACCAACACTGTTTCTGAGGTGGTTTCTGATTCAGATTTTGTAATTACTTTTTCAACCTCGCTTTGGTACCGAAATGCAAATTTCTTTTTCAGAGCCTCTGCAATGAGGGCAGCAGGATCAGTAGTGTCCACTGGTTTGGGCCTGACATCTTGCTCAGACCTAAGAAAAGCGAAAAGAGATCAAGGGCACTTTTCAGTATGCTAGCATCCCTCAAGGGGATGTTCTGTCTACCCTATACGACACACAGCACCTCTTGAGTGTCAGAGACATTAAAGATCCTGGTAAATACCAATAGCAGTCAAAGGAAACCCTGGATGGAAAAGAGCACAAGTGGAATGTGGGACCCTATCTAGAGAAGCAGCAACACCAGAGATGGAGGCAGAGATGGGGACATGGAGAGATAGAACAGCTGAGGACTCTATATTCATGGAAAAAGAGGCACTGGGTGCTGGCGGCCAGGGGGCAGGCTTGCAGAGTATGCCCTTTGGTTGTTTAAATTACTGTATGTTCCTGGGTGTTTCTATGTGCATTCCCCCCCAACTCCCCAAAAAAGGAAAAAACAGAGGGAATGAAAGTAAATACTGTTGAATGATGATGCTTGAAGGAAACTGTAATCATTGCAATGAAATGATGGTGTAAAGCTGATGTTCTCTCATGTACACTATCACTCAGTAAAAACTTAAAAAAAACAAACAAAAACACCCCCCCCAAAACCCTGGATGGCATTGTAGGATAAGCACTGGACTACTAACTGCAAGGTCAGCAGCTCAAGCCCACCAGCCACTCCTCAGAAACCCTATACAGGACAGGGTCGCTACGGTAGGAACCAACTCAGTGGCACTTAGTAACAAGGAAAGCACAAAAATGCCCACTAATAGCCATTCAATGCATTTCAAGAGCACTTGTGGTTTCATTTTTCTCAGCATGCTTAGTGACTAGTATGTTGTCAAGTAGGTTCCGATTCATAGTAATTCTGTACAGGGTTTCCAAGGAGCAGCTGGTGGGTTTGAACTGCCGACCTTGTGGTCTGCAGTCCAGTGCTGACCCTATAGTGCCACAGCAGAAATCCAGTGACCAGTATAGTGACACACACACATATATATATAATGCATTGCTATGTGTCCTGGAGTGGCACTGGAGGGTAAGAACTAGATTGTTACCCAAAAAGTCAGCAGTTCAAACCCACCAGCTGCTACTTGAAACCCTATTTAGGGTTGCTATGAGTCGGAACTGACTCAACTGCGCTTATCAACAACAACAAACAGAGGCAGTGATTGGGCAATAATAGTAGATTTATGTGAAAGGGCTGGTAGTTCAAGGATGTGGGGAAAGTGAAACAAAACCAAACAAACCTGGAACTGTTTATTTTGCTAATCTCATTGCTATTGAGTATAGGACCCACTGAAACCCATCTTTTATAAACTAAAAACTTGAAGAATTATTCATGGAGTTACTTCATAAAAACAAAATTTCTCAAGAAGATTAGTGCTTTGTCTTATATGATTTTAAAAAAATGAGAAGAGTGAGGAAGATGGTAAATGTCTCCTTACCTTTTCACTGAACGAAGTTTGACACTATTCATATCTTTAAGGATTTCTAGCATATTTGGCATGTCAGGTTTCTTTGGACTGTTTTTAACCAAAGTTGTTCCAGCACTGGCCTTCTTCCCTCTTCGTTCTTTAATCAGATCAATGGCAGATCTACCTTGGTGAAGCTCTGCAGAAGGGAGTGGGGGAGGAGGTGGCGGAAGCGGTGGCGGTGGAGGAGGCGGGACAGAAGGTGGTGGTGTAGTAGTAACAGAAGTGGTAGAATCTAAGTCACCTAAAGAAATAAGGAAGAATGCATTTAATCCTGCTGGATTAAATTAAATATGACAAAACATCGGTTTTTAAAAGCAAAAGTGTGCTGAGGAATTCAGGATAGCAAAACAGTATCTGTAAGAATTGTTGGCATTAGAAACACAGTTTGTTCTTCTTCATTAGAAATGCCGAGTTTCAGTAGCTTTATCATTCAATCCAAAACTCTTCAGATGGAAACGTTCCATTTAGTTTGACAGAGGAGAGTTTTTTGATAATGAAAGCTCAAGTTTGACTGTGGCAACGTTTGTAACTACTGTCAGCAGAAACATAAAACAGTCTTCACTGCATAAATATCTATTTACAATCTAAAGAGTTTCATATTTGTATTACTGTAATTTTTTTGAAAAAACCATTTGATAAATTTGTGATTCATTCAAAGTATGCTTTACATATTGCTGAGGTTATATACAACTTCTTAATAAGAATTAAAAGGCTTCATTGACTAGAATGTTTTTAAAGGGAAAGTTTTAGATCGATTGTTGAATAAATTTTTGGAGGATAAAAGAGTATTTTTTATCTAAAATAAGTAGTAGTTAAGGAGTCATTTAAAAAAAAAAAAAAAAAAAGAAGTAGTAGTAGTAAGAGGTTATAAAATAAAGACCCCAACCAAGTTCACCCTTCTGGACAACTGGAGCTTAATTATATGCAGTGTGAACTACATTGGTTGGGGGAGATGGGGAATAGGGGCTAGACTGCTTAAGAGTTTTAGACAAAATATTTTAAGACAGAAAATAGAAGATCTAAATATAAACCCTAAAATGGTCTTCCTGTTTAAGGCAGTTTTCCTGGTCTGCCAGAAGAGGGAAGTACAGCAAAAGGAAAATGCCCTCCAAAGTTAAAGAAAAAGGCCTTTAGGAAATTAAAAGTTCCGTGCTATTGAGATTGTAGTAAAGTACCATCTATTATTCTTCAACCATGTGGTGCCCAAAGTACACTGCCCCGTCTGTAGAATCCAACTCAGTTAAGGTCCAGAAAAACTAACAAAGAGGCCGAGAGGAAGGGTGATTTTCTGTTATCTTTTGAACAGGTTGGTTAACATCCAGTCCATCCAGGATTCAAGAACAACAGGAACAATCACTACTATTTGCCAATAGGTTAATGGGCTAAGATCTCAGGGTTATGGTTTCTTCTCCAACGTAACAATGCCACACTAGTGACAATAACATTAAGTAGCAGACAGAGGCCTGAATTCAGTTTCTACTCTGGTTAAGAGGGAAAAAAAAAAAGGAAAAAAAGACTATTAAATAGCTACTATGAGGGGGCTTAAAATAGTTTGTGGAGAGGTGGAATGAAAAGATAATAAAAATTTCCCACAAACTTTCTGAAGCACTCTTGTATATGCTAGAGGCATCTGACGTCATTTTCACAGCTGGTCTCACAGCAATAAAATAGTTACTGTTATCCCCACTTTCAAGAAGGAAAGGGAGACAGACAGACAGACAAGGTATCCTGCCTCAGGACATATAAGTAAGTAAATAGCATTCAGCTCAAATATGTTTCCCAAGTCAAAGAGTCCCAGGCTGCCTTCACTAAATCATGGTTTTGAGATTGCCTGATGTCTACTGACTGGTACCAGCATCAGATACTACTACATAGTCTGTAAGAAAGAAAATTATTTATGCCAGTAGCAACTCAGCTGTATGACTATCAGTGTTTTCCAAATATATTTCCCAGATGTATTCTTCAATATGAGTGGGTTTCAAAAAATGAGTAGAAAAATTCCATTATCTTTTAATTCCATGAACTTTTTGTGTCAAACATATAAATACAGCCTCTGTACTGGGCTATGCAAAAGGAAACTGATAACTGGTATATTACATGCCCAGCAGTTGCTAATATTAGTGAATTTTGAAGTAAGTGGCATAATTCCCGGCCTGCCTGTCAAAGCAAGCAGATGTTGGGCATTCACACCTGCAGTGAGGCTCTGCTGCTCCTGCAGGGTGACGATTTTGGCAATCTGGGCCCGGAGTGCAGCAAGCTCATTTTCAAGAGCATTGATCTTCTGCAATGCCTCCTCATTCGCCAGCACCGCAGTCCTTGGTGCAGGTGTTTCTTGAGACAGGTGTGGGAAATCCTGCCTGCTTGGGGGTTTATCCAAAACAGGAAGGTCATCCTGAAGAGGCTGTCTGACTTCTGTCCTGCAAGGAAGATATAAAGGCACAAAAAGTTGGCTATTACAGGGGACATAACAAATCATCACCACCAGGTAATGAGAGTATCAGAACACAACATCTGGGAACCACTTTTCATGCTGACCTTATATAATCCCCCTCTTGCAGGTTCCAAATCACAAAACACTTGACAAACTTATTTACACACCACTTCTGGATTTCTTATTGCCATCATCCTCCATAATCTTAATCTCTAAATAAGGAACTGTTGTTAAGTGCCGTCGAGTCGGTTCCAACTCATAACGACCGTGTACAGGGTTTCTGAGGCTATAAATCTTCACAGGAGTACATAGCCTTGTATTTCTTCTGTGAGTGACTGGTGGGCTCGAATTGCTTGACCTTGTGGTTCACAGTCTAGGGCATATTCTACAGTCACCATGCTCAACAATCCAAAGGTAAGTAAGCATTGGTGGTGGTGGTCATGTGCCACTGAGTCGGTTCCTACTCACAGAGACCTGTATAGAATTTCCGATGCTGTATATTTTTACAGGAGCAGAAAGCCTCAACTTTCTCTGGTGGAGCAGATTGTGGATTCAAATTATTGATCTTGCAGTTAGCAGCCTAACTCGTAACCCATTACAATACCAGGGCTCCTAAAAAAGCAACAGTTTGAACCACAAGGTTGGCAGTTCAAATTCACCAGCCAATCCTCGGAAACCCTATACAGGGCTGCTATGAGTCAGAATTGACTCAACAGCACTTAACAACAACAACAATATGGGTACAGGTACATATATTTATTGAAAACACAAATATATGGATATTCTTTCGATAGAAACAAACACCTTCCAAGATGGGTTTTCTGGGTTTGATGGCTTAGGATCATGGGACAATTAAGTCAATCGGCATACCATAGTCCAGAAAATCATGATCTGCATTCTAGTGAAGTAAGTTAAGTATCTGGGATCTTATAAGCTTGTGAGCAGTTTATCTAAGCCACAATTATAGGTCTTCACTTTCTAGAAGCAAAATATTAAGAAGGTAACCCTAAGTGCAGAGAAGAAATAAGAGCCAACCATCATCTGTCCTGAGACCATCTGCCCGGCTACCACCAATGATTACCAGTTGCTCCTCAAAAACCCTGTACAGGGTTGCTATGGGTCAGAACCAACTCAACAGCACTTAACAACAACAACAAACCATACCAAGCATCCTTGAAAAGCAGGTACCGTGAGTTTATTTTATTTCTAAATCCCTGATGTCAAGTGAAGAGTGTATGTTGACTGTTTATTAGATTGAACATGCAGTCAGCACTTTATTCAGACTCTTTCACATAATAGAAGGACCTCCTTAACCCTTACACATGATTTCCTTTGATAAATTATAATTCATCTTGACTCACAATTACTAAGAGACACTGTCCAATAATACTAATTCTGCAATATGAGCCAGACTGATTCCTCCTCCCTAATGAAATCACTAATTATTATACTTATGGAAGCATATTTATGATAACCCTTTATGATATCTTCTACTAGCATGTAAACTTATGAGGGCAGGGATTCTGTATGTTCCTAATACTTAGGACACAGTTATGTAAGAACTTAATAAATATTAGCTGAGTCATAAAAATGAACTTAGAAAAAGAGCATTGTTTTCTGCTCAAGAACAATACCTGAGTTTATCAACAGAGAAAAGAATAGGTATTAAAAGGAAATACTACAGAGAACAAACAAGATGGCGGATCGGGTGGACGTATAGCAGAGAGCTCCGCCAACAACAACACAGAATACCCAAACAAGCAGGCTCAGGAGATGGTCCCAGAACTCTGAACCACATATAAAGGAATACTTAGAAGGTTGGAAAGCTCACAGCTGGGGGAATTTGTGGCAGAAGCAAGAAATCTATT